AAAGCTCTTAGCTTTAGAAGCCCCTATGGTTGAATCGGTTTTGTTCTGCTCAAAGGAATGGCCTCTTTCGTCCAAGCCTTGGCATGTTTATGGAGAGGCAAGTCCAGCACATTTTTGTGGGATCTCCCAAGTAAGCGAGGCCGGCTAGCATCCTGACAAGCCATAGCCATTAAATTCACAAAGAAAATCTGGATCGTACTGGGTAGCTTTTTTTTTTAGACACAGTCACCGGAAAACGCTAGAAATATCTGCTCCGAAGTTAAGTCCTCCTAAAATCGATCCAGGAAAGTGTTGTATAGGATTATGGTATTGAGGAGAGAGGCTTATATGGTGGGTCTGTTCCATCAGCGACATCGAAAGTTCATGGGCTTGGATCAAGGTTCATTCACAGAATAGACCAAATGAAATAAATGGGTTTTTCTTTCTCCCGAGGAACCTACGTCTGCGATGAATCGCTACAGGCCGGATCTAAAACAACAGCAAACGAGGATTCAGCCCTGAGTGTGTATTGACGGCAGTCAGTCAAGGCGCCCGATCGTGAGCAGATACTCGAGGGAACAAAATCCTTCAGGTTAAAGAAAACAAACACACAACCCTTCCAGGTTGCGGTGACTATCTGTACGGATAGGCGGGGGTTGGGGGGCGGCGGCGGCGGATCGGGCTGCCAGGATCCGGCGGGATCCTCCGCCAGGTTGGGCGGATTACAGCCACTTCGCTTCACCTCCCCTCGGAGGCTGCGATCCAAGCGCGTCGACCTTTCCGGGAGGCGGCGACTCGCCAAGCCAACTCGCTGCAGGCCATTTCTCGCCCGGGCTGTAACGACGAGGTCCTTAACGCTTCCTCGTGGGACACCTACCCAGCCGTCGTGGCCGCTGCGGCTTTTGAACCCTGACGGGCCGGAACGAGATCCTGCCTTTTTTCCCTCGGCCCTTTTTTCCCCCGTGGCTTTAAGCATCCCGGGGATGGGGGGGGGGCGGACAAGGCGGCGGAGAAGAGCAGGCCTGACCTTAGCAAGAACCTGACAGATGGGGGGGGGAGAGCGGGGGAGGGAAAGACAAGAGGCGCTCCTGCCGTCCGGTTCCCGGGAGAGCCTCTGGCCCAAAGGGCCGGAGCGCGCACACGCTCGCTCGCTCGCTCGCACGCACACACACCAAAGTCAAGCGAGGGGCCTTATCAGGCTCCCAGCTCCAGCCCTGCGATCTGGGGCCAGGGCTGCTGCTGACATCCCAATCGGCCATCAATTTACCTTCCACTGCCGCCCCGCTTCCCCATTTAGCTTTTAACGTCAAAAGCTACATTTTTGTCGGCTCCGGCCTGTCTAGGGCTCTCGCGATTTAGCTCCAGGAATGATTGCTCCTGAGAAAATAGCAACAGCCCCATTACCGAGCAATTAAAAAGGATCTCCCCTCCCCCCTTTCTCCCCCTTTCCCGGCTCTCTCCTCCTTTAACCCGCCTGCAATCACCTTTCAGTGGGTCCGATACCACCTCGCCCCCAACCCTCGCCAGCTGAAAGAAGAGACAGAAAGGGGGGAGGAAGAAAATCAAAGCCAAAAATCCTCTTGATCATCTCGTGAAGCCAAAAAAGTACAGTACCTGGTATCTCTATATGATGTATGTGGCTACGATCAACATAACAATGCAAGCTTCGAGCTGGAATGCCCTGGTGTCTCAACTGGGAGGGAGATGCTTTGAATCAGCTGCTGAATGATAAACCAGTGGGTCTACTCTGTTTCAGACTAGCCACAGGAGACTGGCCTGTGTGCATTCACCTTGAGTAAATTCTGCTTTCTGTGTTCGATCATTCTGTGTTACTCCCAGGTAAGTAGGTGTAGGCTTGCAATCTCAGCATACTGAAGTGGAAATAGCATTTCACTGAAATCAGTGCCTTGTACTGCATGCAAAGAACTGCTTTTTAGCTTTTTAACTCTAATATTCCAAACGAAAACCAAACCCAGTTCAATTCAGACACTTTTAAAGAGGCGCAAAAATGTTATTCGCCTCAGTGACTGCCCACGTCACTTTCCCAGGAGCACTGGTGATTCCTCGGAAGTCGGCAGGGACGTTTTTACGGATTTACAGTGACTACCCAAGTAATTGTTTCCCAGGATTGCAGCCCCAGACGTTTATGGTCTAGATGCGGCCCATTCTATACCTGCTCTGTGCCGGTGGAAATTCAAAGCACACGTCCACAGAGGAATAAATAGCCCAAGTCAGGATATAATTTGTCCAAGTGATGGGATGAATGGTTTTCTCATCAATACCTGGAAGTAAATCGCCACGATTTCACAGGGCCCTTACTCCCAAGAAACCCTTTGTGCGCATTAACTCATGCCAGATAAAGAGATTGGATCACTTAGTTATATCATGTAACATAAATAAGTCAGGAGCATATTTTACCTATCTACTGCTGGGGACAGAGGTATCTGAAAATAGGATAAAGAGAAATAGGAGCTTGAGAGATATATTTCTTTTCATATAGGGGACGGTGTCCTGTCCCCCCCAATTAAAATTAGTTCAAAGAAATCACCTTCAAGCACTCACTACAATCAGCAAGCATACATCTGGTTGTTCTGAAGCCACCTGTGGGTTTACATCACAGTGAAAAATATTGCATAGGATAAAAAATGCATACAGGATAGACGAGTGTTTCTGTGGGGCCTTTTAAAAATCGAGACATGCACCCAATGAAGTAGGGTGTTGAATCCTGGAAATCGCCAGTTTTTTTTTTCTTTAGAGCAAAATATTTCAGAATAGGGACAAGGGCTTCCATCAGAAATCCCAGTGTGAAGGCTGGGCGGTGGGTGGGATTGGATCCGTGGATGACAACAGGGAGAATAACCGACAAAGCTTTAAAGGGGAGGGGGGAGTTGAGGTTCTTCCAGGGCTTGTGCCTTTAAATGCAACCACCCTGGGCCTGGCCCAGGCCTTGTCCAGGCTGCCTGACCCCACAACGGGAAGAGGGCACCTCACCCCGGCCTGGTTGTTGTAACCTCACAACCTTCCTGTTGTCAGGGAGGGCCTGGCCAACAGTGTAATCTCTCTCTTTTTTTTCCCACGGGCAGTTGGGGATCTACCATTTCTTATTGTCAAGAGTGTGGCTAGATCAAGTCACTCAGAAGGAGAGGGGAGGGCAGAGCCAAATATGGATTTCGTATTCTATTCACCTCAGACAACCTGAAGCAGAGATATATCCTGTCAGAGAAAGAGAGAGAGAGAGAGAGAGACAGAGAGAGAGAGGTCTGTCGCTTGAACTCATCTCAAAACCTACTGCAAGGACTCGTTTTCATTGAACAATCCATCAACCAAGAAAGACCCCATTTCTAGGCTTTGGCAATATCAAGAAAAGTGCTGTAATACATAGAAAGGAGAATGAGTTTCAAAGAAATGCTCCTGGCGCAGGTCTTTCCCAGGCTAGGATTCCCAAAGATGCTCCCAAATCGCTAAGCAAGAATGCCTAAACTGCTTGATCAAGGCCAGCCATGGTCCCTTGCCAGGAGAGAGGAGATGGTCAAATGTCCTCCACCACTGTGAGGTTCTAAGGGCCACTCCGACTGAGTCTACTCCTCTTCCCCCCTACTCCCCTTTGCCACATTAGGAGGCCTAACTCACAATCTTGTGCCAAGAGCAGGATTTCTTAACAACAACAACAACAACAACCATGTTGATTATGGCAGTGGATTAGAAAAGTGCAACCAACCAAGAAGAGTTTGAAGGAACCACAAAGTAAAGATGAAGACTGCTTACATATCCACTTACATTCCCCGCCTCCGAAATCCCTAGCCTTGTTCAGTATTACATATTAGACGGAAAATTGCCTGCTACATAATCACTTCTATCCCGGCTTTAAGCCTTCTTTGCCCCACTCATGGCCCAAGGAGGAGGGTGAAAGTCCACGTCACAAATCGCTTCATACAATGCCGCTAAGCATAAATACACCAAGAAAAGAACTCACATTGATTAAGTATGAAATAAATATCAAGATCTGCTTACGTCCTGAGTATTCTCCCTCTCTCACAACCAAATACCTTTAGAAGACCACTGGAGATTATTACTATTTCAGAAAAAAAAAATAAGCAGTCACCCTCTTCCTTCGGCAAAGGTGAGGCAATGCTGCCTTCTGACTTGATCCATTTCTGTCCTTCCGTCCAGTATAAAGGGGTAAATACCTTAGAAAAGAAAACCTTGGCACAATGCAACAGCTCTTCTCTGCCTTGATTTAAGTGGAATTTACTTCGGAGAAAATGTGCTCAGGGTCCCAGGCAACGTCTCCCAAGGAACAACCTCCCTGAACCTTGATGTTTCCCTTTCACCACTTCTGAATGGAGAAAGTGGTCTGATTTCCCCTCCCTCCCTCCATGAAGAGTCTTTTGAAAATGAGTCCTAACCACCACGTTCAATCAGAAGTAAAATTCAGAGAAATCAACTTTGTTTGCTCTGGTCACCGTCCACCGGAGGGTATCTTTAGATGTCCACCTTGATAATTTAATTTACTTTCGGCACCATCATAAAATTCCAACTTGTTGGCGATGGAAGCAGGCCTGTTTTTTTTAACTTCCCAGGTATAAAAGGTAAGCTTTACTTTTAGTTTTTTAAAAAAAGCACACACAGTGGTTTATTGAATACTTACAACGTTTACACCTTTCAATATGAATTCAACTCCACGGATTATCATTATTATTATTATTATTTTAAATTTAATTTTTCTTTCTTCCTTAAGGACTGAAGTGCACATTAACAAACAGCTGTTAGAAAATCTCTTTCAACTATTGAGCAACCCACAGAGGGGGAGAAAAACACAACACTGACGTCCAATCTAAAACAAAAACAAAACCCAAAAACAAAAAACAAGGCACAGAAGCTTTCCAAAAGTGGAACTTGATTTTTTTTGGGGGGGTAGGGTGGGGGAACAACTTTGATCGAGCTTCCCATCACGTTTATCCAACAGAGCAAATATTAAATATATACACTTCACATAATACATTAATGCCTTCAAAATTTTCTTTTTTTCGCTTGTCCTGTGTGTTCCATACAAACAAAGCCAAATAACATTCATAAGGAGGAGGGGGGGGATAACTATAGAGACCACATTACCCCTTACCACGCTGGCGGGTTTTTTCCTCTTCATATATTCATATATTCAAATTTGGAATGCTTTTCTTCCACGATCCACACTGGGTCTTTTTTTTTTCCCCAAGGGGAGACTAGGGGAGGGAAATTGCACATAAATAAATCAGACGATTCCAAAACAACAACATCAAAAAAGTCCTCAGCTTTCAGCAATCTCTCTTGAAGGTCCACAGTCCTGGTAAAGCGGGATTATAATATTTCCTCCAGTCCTCCAGCGCTCCCCTCACTGCTTGAGCTCCAACGCCCACACATGCTGCGGCCAGCCAGTCCTCCCTTTGGTTTTCTTGTCATTGCTGCTAACTGTGCTTTTCAATATTTCGTTCTGTTCGAGAAAGGAGGCGAAGAAGAAGAAGAAGAAGAAGAAGAGGAGGAGGAGAAATAAAGAGATTATCTCCCATATATTTTCAGGGTAACCTCCTCCCACCCGCAACCTTTAGCTCCTCTGTCGGCTTTGGGGCAGAGCAGATCTTTCAGCTGAGGCTGAATCTGTGCCGGAAAAAGTTACTGTGTTGGACTACAGCTTCCATAATCCCTCAGTCAGCAGAGCAGAAGGATTCTGGGAGTTGTAATCCAACAAAGTGATTTTCTCATGCTCTGAGGCTAAAGCAGAGGCCTACCAACTGCAGTGCCATCAAAAAGCCTCTTGCCATTGCCCTTCCTGCCAAATGTGAGACGGTGAGATTCTGGCAGGCATTCCAGCTACTTCCTCAAACAAAAACAATGTGATTATGATGGCTGCGGTCTTATCCTTCCAGCCTACCCAGGAGTAAGGTCTGCTAAACTCAGGGAGACTTTCTTCTGAATAGGCAGGCGTAGGACTGGATCCTAAAAATCTCTCCCGGAGAGAAATGCCACCAAAGCAATTGGATTTATTCTCCTTCTGGTCTCCATGGTGCCCTAATCACTCCCGCGTAAAAAGTTTTCTGCGTCGACCTGGTGACCCAACAACCTGAAGTAATAAAGCTTTAGAGTCGTTCCAAATCCAGGATCGATGAAGCTACTAGGCAGCTACTAGGCGGCTGTAGGCATCCTTTGAGCCTGCGTGACCCCGCACCCACCTATTCGAAGATTTACAAACATCTTCACTTAAAAAGAAAATCAAAACACGCCTCAGATCGCAGAGCAACTCAATTGTATTCCATTTATCAAGCACCACAGACTTCTAAAACAAACCCCCTGTGAGTGACAGTAACGACAAGCAATGCATGCACTGTGGTACATATGTCTGTGTAAACATTGCATCTACAAATAAATGTCTCTCCACCCCCACCCCACCCCCAACACACACACGCGCGCGCGCGCGGGGACACAGAATGATTTTGCACATATGCATTCCTCGTTTCCCCACCCATCCGTACCCTAGCCGCACAAGAGCTACACGGGGAAACTCATTCAAGTCCTCCGATATACACACGTGTCACATATATGCTTAGCTAACATGACTGTAAAAACAGCTAAATCACAAAAAGGGATCGATCTTGGGAAGCCCCGACCCGCTAAAAATTCTTCTTGGACAGGACAGGGGCCGCCTGTTGTCGTTGCGGACGTCTGCCTCCGCAACGGAGGTAGACGTCCGGTCAGGCGTAAACGTTAAGAGAGAGACACTCCCTTGAAGGAAGTAAATACCTAAACTGTGGTATGAAAAGCTTATTCCAAAATGAGGCCCGGAGAGCTGTCTCTGAGGCCCCATTCACAAACGTTTCTGCCCTCCATGCACCTCCTTAATTATCGTAATTATTAATGATCCTGGCCTGCCAAGTAAATGTAGGTTGGATCAGATCAGACACGGGATTCTGGACATATGTACAGTCCTGAATATCGTAATTCTATGGACAGTATTCGAATCCCGAAGTCATTTAGGAGATCCCACCCACGAACCTGGACCCTGTCTTTTGGGGACAGCGGGCACTCGGGTTCTTTTCGGCCCCAATCCACGATGCGCTGACAGACCCTGTTAAATGCTATTCGGAAATATGCCCCATTGACTTAAGCAGATGGCGTTTTCCACGGCCCAGCTTCGCAGTCTGAACGAAAACACACCCAAGTTTTGTTCGCAATAAAATTTGTGCTTTAGAACGTTAACCATTCTAATCCGAGTTGACATTCGATTTCCAGCACTCTAGTTGCTTCACAAGTGAGACTGTTATACTCTCATAGCCATTCCATACCTAATGGGGTTGTGTGTGTCACTGGGAAATTTATGATTATAATCACATTTTCTCACGTGATTAATTAGGCTTACTTTACAGGTTAATTCTTGGCTTGCAGAAAACCAATAGGGCACGATAGTATATTCTGAATTGCTGATAAAAAGGAGCTTGCTTTTCGACAAACGTCCGAACTTTAAACTCTGTTATATAAAAATTAAATTCGTTGTGCTCACGTCCTAGTCGGATCAGGACAGAGCCGAGCGGCGGCGTTTGCAGATTTGGTTTAATTTTGATTGAATTTCATCGAAACACAAACGCTTCTGGAGAAGGGGAACCGAACCGAACCATGGAAACTTGAACCCAGTAGGTAAATTAGTAAGGACTGACTTATATCAACAGAGTGCCTAATTCAGGAATTGAATTAGAATACAGTATATCTATATTCTAACTCGTCGTTTGCAGATGGCAGGGAGGAAGGCAAAAGCAACCGCACCCGGGTGTTATAAATCTGAAATCTGCAGCGGGGACCAGGCCCGGAAAGAACGCCAGGGGGTTTCCACTCCTCTTGAAGGGTTGTCGTGTGCATCTGTATCTACGTACTTAAAATATACCTTTTTCGGTGTTGCTTTAAAAACCTGTGGCCCTCAGGCTTTCTCGGAAGAACTGCTGACTGGGACCTCAATGCACAGGCCTCCCATTTTAATGCCAGACCTAACAAGGTTTAAGTAGAGTGCAGTGAAATTAAGTGGTTTGCCTTTGATCCACAGGTTCGAGTTCCAGGACATTTTCCAGTCCGTCCTGCAACTGGGAAAACGCTCAGATGTGGGATTTAAATTGGAAAGGGAACTCATCGGGCAGAAACAAGGAATGGAGGGTGAGGTCGTGTCCTCCATTTCTCCTCCAGTACTGTACACTAGAACGAGGATCATAAACAAATTTCCAATGCAAAACATACTGGTTTTAAAGGCCCTTTCCCCCTCTTTTGACTCTCTTCGCAGTTTTTCCCCCTTTTTTCTTTCTTTCTTTTGCTACGGGATTGTATTGAAAACCGAGGTTGTTTTAGCAGGTTTATCGCGGAAGGTTAAGCTTCTTAGTTTTGGTTGAAATGAATTGCAGCCCCAGGAAACTGCTTTTCAGCTTCAGTTAGTAAAGGACATACCATAAGGAAGCCATCTAGTCTAGGGATTCTTCCGCTTGCAATTCTCCGCCTTGGGACCCTCTATATATTTTCTGTTTTGTTAAAAGTCTTCTTGTCAAATAAAGAGGCACTACCTTATGCTTGAAATGCTCCATTTCCAAGCCTACAGGAAACAGTCAAATCAAGAGGCTGGTGGGGGGAAAACAACAGTAATTCATGTCTCTCACATGGTGGGTTTCTGTAAGGAATCCAGGACAACCTGTGATCCTTATGTGCCTTAAATGCCCTGAAGGAGACCTGCAGGCCATGCAATGTGTTGCCCCTCTGCGCCTAGAAAGTAAGTAAGGGTACTTCAGATGGGGGTTTGGGATATTGGGGCGGTGTTTTGTTTTGTTTCACTGAGACCCCAAAATTCACGTAATGCAGCTTGAAGCAAAAGGCATTAGGTCAGAATTTTAAAAACAAGCTGGTCTCCAGGAAGCTGTTATTTGCATATGGGAAGGGGGGGGAACTCACTGACCTTCCACGCATTCCTGACGTCATTCTGTGCCCCACAAATAAGCAGCAGAGATCTTGGGTGACCTACTCTACATCGCCCAGAGATTCTAGCACTAGATTCCCATATACCTTCAGCTCATCCGTGTCTTGCCATACCTCCTTGGAGGGAGTTACAGCCTCTCACATTCAGCCCAAGAGGTGGAAGAAATTCCCCGTCAAGTCAATGAGACTTCCTATCCCTTATAGGTTTATTATTATTCTCCTCCCGAGATTACCTTTCTCCATCTAAGTAGGGCTTAGATGTTGCAGTACCTTACAAATTAGGTTTACTAGTGTCTAATCCCAAACCTGAACTTCCAGGGGAAAACTCCATAGGGCCGCATTGCCTGCTTTGTTTCTAGTGAATACACCGGTCCTTAGTCTTAACTAACAGCAATATGCTTCCCATGGCTAAAAATATACTTAAGGCTTTATTTTAATCTAAATTTTTTATTTTTGATTGGGGGGTGTGTGTTTGCTGGTTTATAGGAACAAAGCCACCAAAGACTCTTGAAGTACAGGTTTTATGTGGCATCAGCTGGCGTGGACTTCCATCTGGTGAAGTGGGCTTCCACCCAGAGGAAGCACAGGCCAAGGAAAACATATTAGTCTACAAGGCGCCAGGAGACCCCTTGCTGTTTTTAAGCCAAAGACACTGATTTCAGGATAAGAGCCAACCATCGTGTGGCACCTTTAAGCTTCCACGAATAATTACCATTAGCTTTTGCTCTCTCCCACGTAAATAAATATGCCGGTCTTCAAGGTGCCACCCGACGCTGAGACAAAACAGGGCTCTCTGTGGAAATTTAAGGAAATAAGGCCTCCCTCCCTCCCTTTCCAGAGCTAACATTTTAGAGCCGGCGGCACACTCGGGGACGAGGAGGCTGGTGCGATTATTAACGGATTGTGGATAAAAATACAGCAACGGAGAACGAAGGCGGGCGGCACCTTCAAGACCAACGTCTTTATCCCGTTGCTCTCCCTAACTAAAGTAGACGCACGGATTCAAGTCTATTTCTCCATAAGGCTAGACTTAAAACTCAGCAATTGATTCTGTGGGTCTACTTTAATTCCAACCGGCAAAGAGCAAGCTGGTCCAAAAGCCTTCAAAGTTAAGAGTCCGAGAGCCCCAGATTTGGGCGATTGCGGCCGCTGAGCCTCTGCCCGCCCGCCCGCTCGCTCGCCCGCCGGCCGGCCACCCTTCCCGCGCCGCCGGGTTGCAAACTCACCAGCTCCTTCTTCCTCTTGTCCTCCTTGACGTCGGTCTTCTTGATCTCGGCCTTGAAGGCCTCGGCCTCGCCGTTGGCGTCGTCTTTGGCCAGGAGGTCCATGAGGTAGGCGATGTAGCTGGTGGCCAGGCGCAGGGTCTTGATCTTGGAGAGCTTGGTGTCGGCCGGCACGTTGGGGATGCACTCGCGCAGCTCGGCGAAGGCGCTGTTGATGCTCTGAGTCCTGCGCCTCTCCTTGCGGTTGGCCGTCCCCCGGCGCTTGACCGGCCGGGGCCCGCCTCCCAGTCCCGGCGGCCCGCCGCCGCTGCCCGGAGTCAATTCCGAATCCTTGTGGGCTTTTGTTGTTGCTGCTGTTTTGCTATGTTACTATCTCTTTGCTTGATAATATCGACGATATTTAGCATTTCAAAATAAACAAGTACAACTTGTTTTTGTTATGAAGCAGTGCTGAAAAAAATAAATGAATCTAGTCCAACATGAAGGATGATCCTTTTCGGACTGCATCTCCCACACACACACTTCAGTGCCGGCGGTTGCAAGTTAGGGCTGGTGGAATTTTTGGTCCAGTAACAGTCCCCACCCTGGCTTTGCATTCTTGATCCACAAATCCGACATGCCTAATTGAAATGACCTTGGCAGTAGTATTATGCACATTTACCTGGGAGCAAACCCAGGAAAGGCAATGGGGTTTACTCATGTAATGGCAGTCCTTTCTTCACGCTCTCCTCAGTTCTTAGGAAAAGCAGAGCGAAGCGAAGCACAGCAAGGAAAGAAGAGGACTGGCCGGGGAGGGCGACGTGTACTTACACCTGCATCCCCTCCAGCTGCTCCCCCCCCACCCCGACTCGGGCGAAGCGTTCCGGCGGCCCTGTCCGGAGGCGGCGGCTTCTCCTCTCAGGTCGAGGGGGCGCCCATGGTCTGGTCTGGCGCCGGGCTGCGTCGGGACTGGGGTGGAGGGAGAGGACAGGGACCGAGGCCGCCCCACCTCTCGGGGAACTCCGCCGCTCTTTTCGCTGCGAGGAAGAAACTGCTGGGAACCGGGACGGTGCTGAAGATGAGGATGAGGATGGTGACGAAGAGGGACAGAACAAGAGAAGGGGGAAGGAAATTAAAAAAAAAAAAACCGCAAAGCCCACAGGTTGCTTTCCAGACGCAGAGCTGTGGTGGACACTGGTCGGATTTCCCAGCCCGATCTCCATGTACAGCTACATCTTTAGGGCAGCTCGGGTTAATATATGTCGTCGAGACTTTACGAACCAATCGGCGAAGCCGGGGGCGGGGCATCCCGCTCCAGGCCATAAAACTTTTTTTTTTTGTAATCTTCGTGCTGCTAATTGTTCAGCTTCTCTTTTAGGATTGGCCGGTATTCCTATCCATAATATAATTAAAACAAACGAGGAAAAAGTCCCTCCTCCTTCCCGCATTGACAGAGGTTAATTCGGCTATTTAACAATGCTTTGCTGTAAGTAGACGTGTGTGCATGTATATATTTGAGCTGATGATCCAGAATTTATCTCTGAATGAGGGAGACCATCTAAAATAGTCGATAACCTCGATTCAGATGTAGCATTCTAATACAGAGGACCGGCGAGTGCAGAAACAATAGCGTTCCTGATAGTGATGCTGGGGTAAAAGTAATATTAATGATGATCTACAGTTCAAGTGGTTGCTCTGTTTAATAACATTGCAACTGTTTACATGTGTACTTGGGGCAGAAAAGTATTTATGGTGGGTCCTGGGTGAGAAATATAAAGATACTAGCATTTATCAAGACTACTATATATTATTGCTTTGGTGTATTGTAACGTGGAAGTACTGTTACTTTTACCGGAACACCAATGAGATGTACTTCCAGCTAAAATACATTCTGAACTGGGGTGCCAGTTTGTAAAAATTTTTTAGAACAAGCAACTTGATATTCTTGCAGTAAACCTTATTAATGACTTTTCTTTCACTTTAGCCCAGACTATGCGACTGAGAGGGCTGGGCAGGATTTCTCAGGAGTAAAAAGATTATCTGTTGTAAAACACACGTGGCAACTTTAAAATACGTGTGGCAAACATGAATAACAGATGGTAAATTGCTTTGTTTGTTTGTTTTTAAACTTAAATGCAACAAAATCCTGGATTGTTATCAGAAGATTTGCCTCTGAGAATCACAAAAACAACCAGTTCTCCAAAGAGTGGAGTGAGCAATAAGAAAAAAAAATGTTGTAAATCCAAATCCTCCCCCTCCCCCCGGCCCAGGTCCTTTGGTGTGCACAGCATTTCTGTCTGAAATCAGTATTCTTTTCCGCTTAGCCACCTCGACTTGGGTAAGTAACCGAATCTTTTTCACAGTATGTTGAGCGTTTATTTTCTCGTTTCTATTAACAGAGAGATAAAGATCTCCCCGTGTTTCTCTTGTTTCACGAATCACATTATACTGGGGGTAATATATATATTTTTCCAAATAAAATAAAATAAAATAACTTGAAATGCCCAGCCATCTTGGAGAAAACGGGCTGCAGTTATGGGCAAGGAGTCTTTAAAGAGATGTTTAATAGGCAGGCCCGGCAGAAAGCCAATAGATATATACATAGATTCTGGTACTTGAAGGAAGTCGGAAGCATTATAATAGGAAAAAGGATCCCCCAACTCCATTTCATAGAGAAAGTGAAAATTCGGAGGTAGGATTTTGAGCCAAGACATTTCCTGTCGCCTTCCTTAAAGACGAATCCCTTGAATAAATGGGCGAGAGAATTTCTCTAGTCCTCGGCAAGAGGACTGGAAGGTTTTGAGTAGATTAAGACGTAGTTCCAAAAATAGCTGCGGAGGGAGCAAGGAGGTCAACAGGCAGGAGCCGCTGAACTAAAGGCGAGATGGCTTCTTTTATTTCTCTTTTTTTCGTGTTTCAGTTGTCCTAAAGCCAGGTACGTCGGCTTTAACTGTTTGCAGATCGCAGCTCCAGGGATTCACACGGATCCGAGAGGCCGTTTCCTTGGGTTTCCGATTTTTTGCAGAAGATGTCCTGAAGGAAAGTTGGGGCATATTTGGGCCAAGTCAAAATGTAAGGGCATGCGATGCCATGCTGAGACCGCTTCTCCCTGCCTGCCGTGTCATGAGACTCCCGAGTAAACGCGCGGGACCAGTAGCTACCGTGGCCACGCTAAGAGCGGAGTATGAGCAAAGGATTGCCTTGATGGACGATCCCTAAGTTCAAGAAGATCCCCGCTTCTCTCTCAGTCATGATTAGAGGTTGTTACAGGCTGAAAGAAACATCCGTTTGGACGCACTCGCCGGAGCGTACGCGTCTTTCAGTGCGGGACCGCGAGATTTCATTCAAAACGCAGGGTAGCGGATATAAAAACAAAGGTATATTTTCGTGCATGTAGTCATGGGATGGGCAGATCTCATCCATTGTTGTTTATACCCACGATCCTCTCGCTGTGGGATGTTACTCTCATAAAAACGATTAAGTACAACACTGGAAAGGGATGTACGTGAGAGCGCGATCCTGCTTATTTACAGTCACACGAGAGTTTCTGCCGTAGCTTTCAATGGACTAGAGAGTTGCACTCAATTAATGTGAAGGATGACTGCCAGGAGAGCACTCAGAACAGGGAAGTCAAAGCCCACTCCCCACCCCCTCAGCAGTCCGGTTAAATCTAAGCATTTGGCTTGATCCCGATTTTCCGGTTAAGGCATTAAGTCAATTTACACCCCGATCCTAAACATATTTACCTGCAGGTCAACACGGCGGTAGGTTTGCCTTGCAGTGCGTTTCGCTTGTGAATCGTGCCTGGAATCCTGAGGCAGTCCAGGGACTGGCAGAGCGGATGTTAGTTTGCAATCCTATGCCTGCATTTGTTTTTGCGGAATCTTTTTCTCTTAGGATCGGGAACGGTTGTCTTACCAACTGGCAACTCTTGATCTTGCTGCCCGAAGACAAGACAAGGATGCAGGAGAAACAGTTCGAAGGCTGTTCTCTCTCTCTCTCTCTCTCTCTCTCTCGTGTGTGTGTGTGTGTGTGTGTGTGTGTGTGTGTGTGTGTGTGTGAGAGAGAGAGAGAGAGAGAGAGAGAGAGAGAGAGAGAGAGAGAGAGAAGGATTTCCTTTCCCAATCGGGATGCTCGACCCAAACGCTCTTGTCGGGGTGGGGTCTCCTTCCAACTGTACTATCAGGAGTGTCTATCCAGCGGCTTTGGTCGCCATAGATCTCTAGACCGCGTCTGACTGTGGAGGATCCTTTTTAGATTTTTTTTCCTGATATAAATCACAGCAAATAATCTGCAAGTCGTCCCTCTCTCTCCTAATTTCACATAAACTTTCTTTCGTTTCTGCTCAGATCTTTAAAACATGATTGGGGAATTACAAAGGAATGAAGAACGATTGCGATTTCAAAGCAGGGTGCGTGACTGAAAATAATCTCGTGATTTTCTGGGTTTTAAATGAGTGCCGCTTTCGTGTTAGCCCTTTGAGAGAATGGGTCTCTGATTTCCATCCACAAAATTCATTACGAACCTTTTAAACCAACAGAAGTGCTTCTAGCCTACTGAATAAAATAGCCCAGAAAACGAAATACGTACATTTAATGGATGTCCTGTGCACATTTACCTTGCTTTAATTCTTGCCCGATCAATAATGCTCGTCCTGCAACGCAGTGCCCCCTCATCTTCAAACTAATCCCCACAGAGTTCATTTAGGGTGACTCTCAAATGTTCCTAGGATTGCATTGTTAAACCATGTACCAAAGACTTGAGAAAGGATCGCATGCAGTCGGGATGCCAGGTTTTATTTCCAGCATTTTGCAAAGATTCTGAGAAAGGCTGGACATAGTGGTGGATTAGAAGGCAAGAAGGGGAGAAGATAAAAAGGAATGACGTTTAAGAGAAGGGAATGAAGTGCATAGAGGACTAGAAAAAGAAATGAAGAAACTGAAGAAGAAAAAGATGAAGAAAGAAGAAAAAAGAGTGGATTGAAAAAACCCTGCCACCCTCTAGGCTGCACGGGGAATTCTGGCATCTGTATGCTGAACATACTTTTCTAACAGTTTCCTTGTTGTATTTGGGGTGTTTTGTTGCTCTGATGATTAGCCAAACCGGGCCTGTACTTTGGGATATTTGGAAGCTGAAATGGAGAAGTAGCCTGGGAGCAACATTTCAGATGGGCATTTTGTATGAGGCCGAGGTGTGTGTGTGTGTGTGTGTGTGTGTGTGTCTGTCTGTCTGTCTCTCTCTCTCTCTCTCTCTGTGTGTGTGTGCGTGTGTGCGCACGCCCTTCAGTAGTCTCTCTTGGTGTCTGTCAGCCTTCCTTTCACATGCACATGTATGTATATGGAGATCATAGATGTTGGCAATATAACACAGTTTTTTTAACACAGGCAAGAATTCTTAGGGCCTAAGGTGCTGAACTGACCACAAAACAGGCAGGGTGGCCAATAGTCTACAATGGCACAAGAAATCCTCTTGCTCCATTTATCCTTTGGGTAAAAATACATTTCATGAGGTCCAGACTATTTGTCTTGCCTTCCTACTTCCCAAAAGCTGTTTTTAAATTTTGTTTAAGTTGGGAAAAACATGATTCCATTTAATCATATAATTATAGATATGTTTAAATGGCTCCAAGTGAATTCCAAGCAAGGGAAAAATATGTTTTCATTTATTCTTATGACTATGTATGTATTCGAATCCATCTAATGAAAGGGTGGGTGGTGTATACTGGGGAGTGAGGCGGTCTTTCATGCTTTAGTAATTTCAGAATTCGGATCAAGAGATCTTGAAGAAGAGGGCTCAATTCAAAGAGGGGCACCTATTTTTTGTCAGCTCTTAGCAAGTTGTATATCCTGCGATTACTGTCTCGTTACTGAACAGTGACAGAAATGGGCAAGTGAATGTTAGGCTACAATTCTTTTAAAGCTGAGTGGCCAGACTAACAGCAGCAACAACAAAAGCAAAAGCAAGAAAGCAGGCATATACTGTAGGCTGGTGTGATGTGGTTCACTGTAGCTCTAGATCTCAAAACGTAATGGCAGCTCCACCCACTCATCTCCAAACCCCATACAAGGTGATCTGATCCTTGTTTATTTGGAAGCAAAACCTACTATATTCATGGTCATGCCACTTGGAGGCTCCCCATGGGCTCTCAACGCAACTTATACGCAGAATAATAGGACAATAAAAAGCTCAATAGGATCGACTTCTAGGTATGCACAGGACTGCTGCACCCATTGATATCTAACATTAGGTAAGTTGTGGAGGGTTCACAAAAAAGCAACATTAGGCATAATTAGCAACATTACAGGATT